TATATATATATATATATATATATATATATGATAAATATATAATCATATATATCATATATATACATCTATATATATATATACGTATATATTATATAATATATATCTATATATCTATATATCTATCTATATATATAATATAGTATTAAGATAATAATGCACATCTGCCTCCTCTTCCTGTAAAAGTCTCTTTACTTGCAGGTGTTTTGAGTCTAGCACTGAACGCCTGCATCAGAGTATAGAGAATTAGATATAAAACAAAATGTCTACAACAAAGGGTTTGCTTAATTATATATATTTAATTATATATATATTATGTTTATTTCTGTCTCTTTACTTTTATTCTGATGCCTGCAGCAAACAGAGGCCTCACAGCGTATAACACTTCGCCTCAGGAGACTGCCCTGTGTCTCTTTAACCCGCCTGCTGCTGCTGCTGCTGCTGCTGCTGGCAACAGAAGCAGCTTCGGCGTCTCTATTTCAGGTACAGTAGGAGAAGAAACTACTCAAATATCTATATTTCATTGAAAAATAAGGATGTGCAGCAGCAGCAGCAGCAGCAGCAGCAGCAGCAGCAGCGGGGGCCCACAGCAGTGAGCGGAAGCTGCCCCAGCCAGATGCGTCCTTCTCCTGCTCTTATATGACGTTTGTTTCTGTAAATATAATAAAATTATTTGCTTTTTTAATTATTATTGTCTTATATAGGGAAGATATATTTCAGATCTGTTGCTGCTGAGGTGCCTATACACCTGAATAAGGCTCTGTCTCTCGCGGTCACTTGGGGGGTCTTCTTCGTTTATCCGTTTATTTATCTTTCATTGCTTCTTTCTTCTTTTCTTTCTTTCCTTCTGCATGCATGCAACATTAAACTCCTTTACTTCCAGCTTGTCGGTGCTGGCAGCAGCAAACAGCAGCAACAGCAGCAGGAGCAGCAGCAGCAGCAAAAATATCATCGGCGGCAGCAGCAAACACACAAAAATAATCCCCCTTGATACTGTTTGGCGTATGCTGCAGCAGCTCCTTGCTTAGGTCTTGCGGTTTAGGGTTTAGTCTCCAGGGTTTAGTGTCAGGGTTTAGGGTTTAGGCGGCTCGTGTTGTAGCTGTGACTAAGGCGGTGGCTGCAGGGAATATTGCTTCTTCTGTTGCTGTTGCTGCTGTTGTTGTTGCTGCTGCTGCTGTCGCCGACCTGGGCAGCAACAGCAGCAACAGCAGCAGCAGCAGCAGCAGCAGCAGCAGCAGCAGAAACGACAGACATCCGATCTATCAAGGCAGCTCTGTGCAGGGGGACCTGCCTCAGAGATGGGCCGAGCAGCAGCAGGAACAGCAGCAGCAGCAGCAGCAAGCAACAGTAGCCACCAGAGCAGCGAGAGCTGCTGCTGCTTCGACGCAGCAGCAGCAATGAGGAATTGCGCATGAGGTGGGGAGCGACTGCAACGCGGGGGCCCCAGCAGCAGGACGGCGCTGATTAGCAGCCGCAGCAACAGAAGGAACAGCAGCAGCAGCAGCAGCAGCAGCAGCTGCAGCAGCAGCAGCAGTGGAGGCGATGGTATCTGTCTCTCCGTCTGAAAGCCATGTGCAGCAGTCTCTATCTTTCTCTTCTTTGTCTCTCCTCAAGGGCCCTACTGACGCTCTGCTGCAGCAGCAACAAACTGCAGCAGCAGCAAATAAACCTCTGCTGCCTCAGCAGCAAACTCCAGCAGCAGCAAATAAGCCTCTGCTGCAGCTGGGTAAATACAGGCGCCATCAGCAGCAGGAAGCTCCACCGCAGCGCCATCTGCTGCTTCCGGCCAGCAGCAGCAGCAGCAGCAGCAGCAGCAGGGAAATAAGCAGCAGCGGCAGCCGCAGCCGCAACAACAGCAAAAGCAGCAACAACAGCAGCACCAGGAGCAACGCTGCATCTCCTGTTGCTGCTGCTTGCTGCTGCGGTGTCTCTCACGCCCCCTCATCAGCTCCACAACACCTGCAAGGCTGCTGCAGCAGCAAACTGCGAACCTCTAGCAGCAGAAATAGCAGCAAAGAGATAAGCAGCAACAGCAGCAGCAGGGAAATAAGCTGCAGCAGCAGCAGCAGCAAGACAAACAGCACTGGCAGCTGCTGCTCCCTTACTGCTGAGCAGCAAATCCTAGGGGACAACAGCAGCAGCAAGCCAAGTACTGCCCCCCAGCAGGTAGCAGCAGCAGCAACAGCAGCAGCAGCTAAGGAAATAGCAGCAGCAGCAACTGCAGCAGCAGCAGCAGCAGCAGCAGCACCATGCAGGCAGGCAGCAGCTTCCCCTCCGCGCGCAGCGACTCCACTGTCGCCCTATCGGCGAGACTGTGGGGCGCCTGAAGAGATGCTGCAGCAGCACTTTGCTGCTGCTGCTGTTGCTGCAGCAGAACCTGCAGCCGTAGCAGCAGCAGAACCCGCAGCAACTGCAGAAGCAGCAACAGAACCTGCAGCGACAGCAGAAGCAGCAGAACCTGCAACGGCAGCAGCAGAACCTGCAGCAGCAGCAACAGCAGCAGAACCTGCAACAGCAATAGCAGAACCTGCTGCAGCAGAGACTGTTGCAGCAGCACCAGCAGAATCTGCAGCAGCAGCAACAGCAGCAGAACCTACAACAGCAGTAGCAGAACCTGCAGCAGCAGAAACTGTCGCAGCCGCACCAGCAGAACCTGCACCAGCAGCAACACCAGAACAATCTGCAGCAGCAGCAGGACCAGCAGAACCTGCAGCAGCAACAGAAGAAGCTGTTGCAGCAGCACCGGGAGAAATTGCAGCAGCACCAGCAGAACCTGCTGCAGCAGCACCAGCAGAACCTGCTGCAGCAGCACCAGCAAAACTTGCTGAAGCAGCAACAGCAGAACTTGCTGCAGCAGCAACAGCAGAATCTGCAGCAGTTACAATAGTACAGGAGGAAGAGGAGGCACCCGCAAGGGGGGCAGCACTAACGGCAGCAGCAACAGCAGCAGCAACACTATCGCCATCAATGAAGCCATTCACAGCAGCAACAGAAACTGCAGCAGCAACGCCTGCATCTGCAGCAGCACTAACGGCAGGAGCCGGAGCTGCAACAGCAGCACAAACTGCAGCGGCAGCCGCAGAAAAAAAAGCAGCAGCAAAACAAAATACTGCAGCAGAGCACAGCGTAGCGGCAACTGCAACAAAACCCGTGACAGCATTCTCTGCAGGACCGACAGCAGCAGCAGCAGCAGCAGCAGCAGCAGCAGAATCCGTAGCAAGAGCAGAAACTGCTGCCGCATCAGCCGCAGGAGGCACACCAACACTAATTGAAGCTGGAGAGGCTGCAGCAGCTGTTGCTGCAGAACCTGTAACAACAGCAGCAACAGAAGCTGCAGCAGCAGCAGTAGAAGCTGCAGCAGAAATTGCAGCAGCAGCAACTGCGGAATTTGCTGCAGTAGCAGCAGGAGCAGTTGGAGCAGCAGCAGCAGCAGCAGCAACAGCACTGGAAAGGGTACAAACTAAACCTGCAGAAACTGCAACCGTCGCAGCTGAAGAGCACATATCACCCGCAGCAGCAGATGCTGCTGCTGCTGCAGTTTCTGCTGCAGCAGAAACTGCAGCAGAAGCAGCCGCAGCAGCTGCAGAACCAGCAGCAGCAGCAGCAACACAAGAAATAACAACAACAGAAATATCAACAGAAGAAATTGCAGCGGCAGGAGCAGCAGCAGCACCAGCTGCACAACCAGCAGCAGCAGCAGCAGAAGCAGCAGCAGCAGCAGCAGCAGCAAAGTGGTCGCCGCCCAGCCTGACGAAGTTATTTCTGTCTCCACTTTGCTGCGGCTCTGTACCCTCTTCAGAGCTGAGCTCATCAGAAGGAGAAATACGCTCTTCTGCTGCTGCTGCTGCTTCTGCTGCTGCTGCTGCTGCACCCTCACGAGAGGCAGTGGCTGCAACCCCCACCTCCGACTTGGCTGCAGAAGCAAACGCAGCAGCAGCAGCAGCATCAGCAGCAATTGCAGCACCAGTTGCTGCTGCAAAAGCACTTGCAGCAGCAGACGTGTCTCAGCCCACCGGTGCCCGTATCGGGTGCAAGCAGCCTAAGCAGCAGCAAACCCTTTGGATGGATCTTGCTGCTGCTGCTGCTGCAGCTTCTGCCGCTGCTGCTGGTGATGCTGCTGCGGCTTCCGCTGCAGATCCACCACTGCAGCAGCAGTTTGCTGCCCCTTCAGGGCTGCCCGTAGTCGCTCTTCCCCTGTTACAGCAAATACAGCCGCCGCCGCAGCAGCAGCAGCAGACGCTGCTGCAGCGCCAGCAGCAGCAGCAGCTGCTGCTGCTACTGCAAAACACTCAGCAGCAACAGCAGCAGCTGCTGCAGCACTTTCCGCTGCAGCAGAGACACATGGCGTCAGTTGTTCCTTTAATTGGATACCCTCAGGCCTCCACTGTCTCGTGGGGCCCTGGATCAGCAGCAGCAGCAGCAGCAGCAACAGCAGCAGGAGCAGCAGCAGCAGCAGGAGGGACAGCCACGGCAGCGGCAGCACCCGCAGCATCAACGGTATTAACGCTGACAGCAGCAGCCCCAGCAGCAGCACAATTCACAGCAGCGCCTCCTCCTGCTGCTGCTGCTGCTGCACCAGCAGCAGCACAAAGTAGAGCAGCAGCAGCAGCTGCAGAATTTGCTTCGGTAAGAGGTGGAGCCGACTCAGTAGGATGGAGCGGAGGACAACGAACAGCAGCAGCAAAGACAGCAGCAGCAGGAACAGCAGCAGATATTTCGTGCTGCACCTGGGAAGAAAGACTTTGGCCTAAAGCCCCTGTTGCTGCTGCTGCTGCTGCTGCTGCTGCTGCGCCAACGGACTCAACAACAACAGCAGCAGCAGCAGAGCAAAGAAGGCCCCAGCATCAACACTGCAGCTGCGTCTCGTCGCTGCAGCGGACCCAGCGGCATGCTGTCGATAGTAAGGGCTGCTGTTGCTGCTGCTGTGGTTTTGTTCTGCTGCTGGAGCTGCTGCTGCTGCTGCTGCGCCTGCTGCTGATGCTGCTGCTGAATGCAGATGCAAAAACCCTTTTTTCTTGTGTGTGTGTGTGGACAGCTGCACCTGTACACGGCCTGGAGCCTGCTACTGCTGCTGCTGCCGCTGCTGCTGCTGCTGCTGCCGTACCCCCCAGCAGCAAGTTGCTGCTGCAGGAGAGGGGCTCAGCTTCTCTCATGGGTGCCGGCGGAGAGGCGGCTCGCGGGGCCTCTCTTTGGCGGGCGCAGCAGCAGCAGCAGCAGCAGCAGCAGCAGCAACAGAAGCAGAAGCAGCAACTACACCTGCTGCAACAGAGGAACTTTTGTTCAAGTCCGTGCTGCTGCTGCTTCCTCTCACATGCACTGAGTGGTGCCCCTAACCCAGCTAGCTAGCTAGCTAGCTAGCTAGCTAGCTAGATAGGTGGCTGGATGTTGCCTTGATGACTATCGAGCAGCTAGCTATCCGCCGACAAACAGCTAGCTAACAGCTAACTAACAGCTAACTATCCGATAGTCAGCAGCTAGCTAGCAGCTAGCTAGCAGCTAGCTAGCCAGAGGTCGCGTGAGGGAGATCCTGGGTGGCCGGTTTGGTGCCTTAATAAGCAGCTAGCTAGATAGACTCCTGCTAGTACTATGGCTAGCTAGCTAGCTAGCTAGTTAGCTAGCTAGTTAGCTAGCTATAGCCAGATACCTAGCTAGCTAGCCACCTACATCTAGCTAGCTCGCTAGATAGCTATGCTCAAAGGCAGGCAGGTAGATAGCTAGATAGGTGGCAGCAGCAAGGGAAGGAAGCAGCTGCTGCTGCTGCAGCAGCAGCAGGTCCGGTGGCTTGCGAACCGTTTCGTCGTTGGAGCTGCTGCTGCTGCCGCTGTTGCGCTGCAGGTGCAGCAGCAGCAGCAGCCCGGCAGCAGCTGCTGCTGCAGGAAACCCTCGCAGCCATTGCTGATGAACGGGAGGCCCTACTGCAGCAGCTGCCACAAAAGCAGCAGCAGCAGAAGGGAGGAAAGGCGCAGCACAAAGGCAGACGCCTGCAACAGACCCCCCAAGCTTGCGGCGGCAGCAGCAGCAGCAGCAGCAACAGCAGCAGCAGGTTAATAATCCCCACTGCAGCACCAACAACAGAGCCTCCTGCTTCTGCAACCCACACCATCAGTACCAGAAACCGAGATGCAGTGCTGCAGAGATTTGCTGTTGCTGCTGCTGCTGCTGCTTCTGCTGCTAAGCCGTCCTCGTTGCAGCAAACGCAGCAGCTTAGGGGCTGCCAGCAGCAGCAGCTGCTGCTGCGGCAGCAAGGCGACACACCAGAGGCTTGCTGCTGCGGCAGCAGCGCCAACACGGGCTTCAGCAGCAAGGGGTACAGGACCAAGGGGGGTAGCCCCCCAGCAGCAACAGCAGCATCAGCAGCAGCAGCAGCAGCTGTAGGTGCTGTTGGTGCTGCTACTTTTGTCTCCGGAGCATTGAAACGCAATGAGAGGAAAAGGAAAGAGCCGGTGGCTGCTGCTGCTGCTGCTGCTGCTGCGGCAAAGGCAGCAGCGGAAGCTGCCGACGCGGCAGCAGCTGCTGCTGCCTCAACAGTTGTGAAGTCTGCTGCAGCAGCAGCAGCAAATAAAATACGTGCAGCAGCACAAAACGAGCCTCCCGGAGTGGCGGGTGCTTCTCCACTTGTCAGTTGTGCTGCTGCACCTGCTGCTGCTGCACCTCTTGCTGCTGCTGCTGCGCCGGCTGCCGCTGCTGCTGCATCTTTTCATGATTATGCTGCTGCTGCTGCTGCAGCTGGGCACTACCAGCAGCAATTTGCACACTGCAAAGGCCCGAAAGTACTTGCTGCAGGGGCAGGAAGTAGCAGCAGCAACAGCAGCAGCAGCAGCAGCAGCAGAAACAGCTGCAGCAGAAGCAAGAACAGCAGCCCCCCTTACGCCAACAGAGGAGCAACGGTTCTAAGGAGCCTTCGGCCCCCAATTAAAAGGGCCCGCTGTGTTGGCTGCAGCTGTCAGCAAGAAGCACAGCAGCAACAGCAGCAGCAGAAGCAGCAGAAGCAGCAGAAGCAGCAGCAGCAGCAAAGGAGGCCAGTAAGCGCTTCTGCCGAAGCAGCGGCAATGCTGCGAACCCCGTGCAGCAAATCCCGCAGATATCAATCAGCTCCAGCTTACAGATGTACCCCCAGCAGCAGCAGCAGCAGAAGCAACAGGAAGAGCAGCAGCAGCAACAGCAGCAGCAGGAATACGATACGTAGAGCAACAGAACAAACAGACGCGCCTTCTCCGAGCGAACTGCTGGCTGAGTTGCAGCCAGCAGACTCTCGTCCTGCTGCTGCTACTGCTACTGCTGTACCTCTGTGCTTCCCACAGCAGCAGCAGCAGCAGCAGCAGCAGCGGGTGCAGGCCACAGCTTCAAGGAATGCAGTACGCGAGCAGCAGCAAAAGCGGTATGATGAAAAGCTGTCGAGAATGAGGCGCCAGCTGCAGCAACAGCAGCAACAGCTGCTGTTGCTGCAGCAGCAGCACCCTCAGCTGCACCCTCCATGGAACAGTAGCACTGCCCCTGCAGTCACAACAGCAGCAACAGCAGCAGCAGCAGCAGCATCTCAGGTGTCTTCGCAGCTCCGCATACCCCCCAAGTTACCAGCAGCAGCAGTTGAGGCCATCTCGGCGAGGTAAGGAGAGCAGCAGCAGCAGTAGCAGCGGCAGCAGCAGCAGCAGCAGCAGAGGACCATTGTGTTGCTGCTTACCGTGTGATTGTCCTCAGGCTGCACGGCCGAGCGAAACAAATGAAAGAGATGCGTCTCTTGCGGCAGCAGCTGCAGCAGCAGCAAGAGTTGCTGCAGCTGCAACAGCAGCAGCGGGACAGCTTCGTCAGAGCTTCTGGCTGGCCTACCAGCAGCAGCAGCAGCAGCAGCAACAGCAGCAGCAACAACACTAGAAGAAAAACACAGCAAAACGGCTGGGGGACGCAGGCGCTGCCTTACTATGAACGGGAAGTGCTGCGGAAGCTGCAGCAGGACAAGCTGCAGCAGCAGCAGCAGCAACATAGACAGCAGCACAAGAAGATGCAGCAGCAGCAGCAGCCACAGCAGCTGGAGCAGCTGCAGGAGCGGTTGCAGCAGCCTGATAATCAAGAGGAGTCCGAGGCAGGTGCTGCAACTGCTGCATATAGCAGCAGCAAAAATACACAGAAGTTGCAGCTGCGCGAGCAGCAACAGGAGCAACAGCAGGAGAAGCAACAACAGCAGCAACAGCAGCAGCAGCGGCAGCAGCAGCAACAGCAGCAACAGCACGCTTCGAACGGGCCTTCTCTTGCTGCTGTTGGCGAGGCAAGGAATGACCCCTGCTTGTCTCCTTCCTCTTCCTTGCAGCAGCAGCAGCAACAACAGCAGCAACAACAGCAGCAGCAACAACAGCAACATGTACGTCAACAGCAGCAGCAGTTGCATCAGCAACCACACCACGTGCAGCGACAGCAGGAGCAGCAGCAGCAGCAGTTGCAGCAGCAGCTGCTTCACCAGCAGCAGCAAGAGCTCCTTTTCCTGAGGCAGGAGGAGCGGAAGCATCAACAAATGCTGCAGTGTCTGCAGCAGCAGCTGCAGCAGCACCAGCAGCAGCAGAAGCAGCATCTGCTGCGGCACAACCACAAGCTGCAGCAACTCATAAAGCAAAACCAGCACCTGCAGCACCAGCTGCACCAACAGCAACTGCAGCAACAGCAGCTGCAACAACATCAGCTGCAGCAACAGCAGCTGCGGCAAAAGCAACTGCACCAACAGCAGCTGCAGCAGCATCAGGAGCAGCTGCAGCAACAGCAGCTGCAGCAGCAGCAGCTGCAGCAGGGGCAGCTGCAACAACAGCAGCTGCAGCAGGAGAAGCTGCAACAACAGCAGGTGCAACAACAGCAGGTGCAACAACAGCAGGTGCAACAACAGCGGCTGCAACAACCGCAGCTGCAGCAAGAGCAGCTGCAGCAAGAGCAGCTGCAGCAAGAGCAGCTGCAGCAAGAGCAGCTGCAGCAGGAGCAGCTGCAGCAGGAGCAGCTGCAGCAGGAGCAGCTGCAGCAAGAGCAGCTGCAGCTGCAGGAGCAGCAACACAGCGAAGAGGTACCTACTGAGGCACCTAAAGCCACAATAAGGCCTTTCTACGCCGCGCAGCAGGAGCCGCAGCAGCAGCAGCAGCAACTGTTGCTGCAGCAGAAGTCGCAGCAACCGCAGCAACAGCAGCAGCAGCAGCAGGAGCAAGAGCCGCAGCAGCAACAGCAACAGCAGCAGCAGCAACAAGATCCAAGAGTGCAGCAGCAGCAAGAAACGGAGGTGCCAGCGTCTACTGAAGCTGGTAGTAACGGCGCTGCTGCTCTCTACACCTGCGCTTCTGTGGAATCTCCTGCTGCTGCTGCTGCTGCTGCTGCTGCTGCGTGGAGGAGCAGCAGCTTCTCCAAGGGCTGCAGCAGACAATGTTCCGACGGGGAATGGCGCTGCCGCACTTATGGTGCTTCATCTGCTGCAGCTGCACCTGCTGCAGCTGCACCTGCTGCAAGCATGCAGCTGCAGCAGCAGCAGCAACAACAGCAGCAGCAACAGCTGCAGCTGCTGCCACTAGAGGTCAGCCTTCGGTCGCCTGAGGCTGAGGAGGGCGAAGAAGGAGCAATAGACGAGCAGGACGCCGCTGCAGCAGCAGCAGCAGCAACAGCAGCAGCAGCAACGGCGACAGCAACAGCAACAGCAACAGCAGCAGCAGAAGCTACAGCAGCAGCACCACCGCCACTAAGGGGCCTGTCCGCTGAGCAGTGGTCTGAAGGCGAGTGGAAAGAGACACCGCGCCCTGGGCACCGCATGCAGCAGTTTTTCACCTCTAAACAGCTGCAGCAGCAGCAGCAGCAGCAGCAGCAGCAACAGCAGCAGCAGCAAATGTATGCACAGCTCGACGCCCTCGCGCAAAGCCTTTCGGTCCCTTCCGGCTACAACAACGCCGCAGGAAACTCCACGTCCCAGCAGCAGCAGCAGCAGCAGCAGCAGCAACAGCAGCAGCAGCAGCAGCAGCAACGTGTTCATGGCTCTCGCTCGGCTCCGGCCTCCTCGCCGTCTCTGCTACAGCAGCTGCGCAGGCTGTACGGCAGAGGCAGCAGCCAGCAGAGATGGCAGCAGCATCAGCAACAGCAACAGCAACAGCAGCAGCAGCAACAGCAGCAACAGCAACCGCTACAGTACGCACACGGCTGGGTAACAGATAACAGGCTGGAGGAGATCAGAGATATCCAGGAGCAGCGCGTAGCAGCACTGCTGCAAAAGCAGCTGCAGCAGCAGCAGCAGCAACAGCTGCTCTTGTTGCAGGAGCGACAGCAGCAGCAGCTACTGCGACAGCAGCAAGAGGCAAGATCTCACCAGCCTCTGCTGCAGCAACAATGCTGGATAGGCAGCGACGCCCCACAAACAAAACAGACACACGTCTTCGGTCTCAGCAGCAACGGCCTGCAGCAGCAGCAGCAGCAGCAGCAGTGGCACAAGGAGGCGGAACAGCCGCAGCTCCCCACAGGAGACAGGAGCTGCACTTGTCCTTGCAGCGAGACGGGTATCCTCCAACAGCAGCAGCAGCAGCAGCAGCAGCAACGACAGCGGCAGCAGCAGCAGCAGCAGCACCAACAGCAGCAGGACGCAAAGCTCTCTAGCGACTTCAACTGTACGAGTTTCTTCTACTTCCCCAGAGGGGGAGCTGAGTCGCTTGTTGCTGCTTCTGGTCCTGCTGCTGCTGCTGCTGCTGCTGCTGCCACTTCGAGGGCACCAGCAGCAGCAGCAGCAACAACAGCAACAACAAGAAGCAGTACTTCACGTCGCCCGCTTTCGGGCAACGGCCACCTCCTGCAGCAGCAGCAAAATGATTCACACCTGCAGCAACAGCAACAGCAGCACGAACAGCTTCAGAAGCAGGTAGAGCAGCAGCAGCAGCAGCAACCTAAATGCCATGTTATCGAGAGCAGCAGCAGCAGATCAGCCCGCGGGGGGCACCAAGCACTACGAAGCGCTGCAGCACCAGGAGCAGCAGCAAGAGCAGGAGCTAGAACATCTTTGCAGCAGCAGCAGCAGCGCTTGCTGCTGCAGCAGGGGACGCGACGGTCTATGAGGTCAGGAAGGCCGAGGCCCCTACCTACCCCCACTCATGAGCAGCAGCAGCAGCAGCAGCAGCAGCAGCAGCAGCAGCAGCAACGGCAGCAGCAGGCAGCAAAACAATTCGCTTCCAGCGGGTCTCCAAGCTGGGCTCATACAATGCAGCAACGGCTGCAGCAACAGCAGCAGCTGCAGCAACATCCACAGCAGCAGCAGCTGCAGCAACAGCAGCAGCTGCAGCAACATCCACAGCAGCAGCAGCAGCAACACCCAGCCACCCCACACAAGGAGCATAATCTGCAGCCGTCCATTGCTGTTTCTACTCCTGCTGCTGCTGCTTCTGCTGCCAACCAGCAGCAGCAGCAGCACCAACATTCGCACATTATACCGCGAAGGAGCCCTTTTAGATTCCGCTCGCAGCAAACAACTCGACAGCAGCGGCAGCAGCAGCAGCAGCAGCAGCAGGAGCAGCAGCAGAGCCTGCAAAACCCGCAGAAAACGTTAGTGCTCCCCTCAAGGGTAGAGCACGCACAGCAGCAGCAGCAGCAGAAGCAGCAGCAGCATTGGGGCTGGGTGACGTCTCGCCGTTTATAGCTGATGAAGCCTTGGAATCCTTAGGATTCCGCAGTTAGCTGCCTATACACCCCAAGGGCTCCCTTGCAGCAGCAGCAGCAGCAACCGTAGCAGCAACAGCAGCACAAGCATTACAAGGGTCTCGTTGCAGCAGCAGTAGCAGCAGCAGAAACATTAGGTGCTGCAGCAGTTTTTGCTGCTGCAGCTGCAGCAGGAGAAACATTAGGTGGTGCAGTAGTCTTAGTTGCAGCAGCAGCAGCAGCAGCTGCTGCTGCTGCTGCTGCAGCAAGACGCAGGGAGCTGTTTAAATACCGCAGCAGAAGCTGCGAATTGTTTTTGTTTCATCTTTGTCTCTGGTTTGTCTCTCTTTGTGCTTTGTTTGTTTTATTAACAAATAAATAAATAAATAAATAAATAAATAAACACCACACAAGGGCAAAGGGCAGTAAAATATACGAAACAATTCTGCTGCAGCTGCAGCAACAGCAGCAGCAGCAGCAGCAACGGCAGCAGCAACGGCAGCAGCAACGGCAGCAGCAACAGCAGCAGTCGTAGCTGGAGCATCCGCTGGTCCCCCAGTGCACGTGAAGGTGTTCCAATTAGCATGCTGCTGCCGCTTTTGCTGGTGCTGCTGCTTCTGCTGCTGCTGCTGCTGCTGCTGCTGCAATGACTCCTGCCGCTGCTGCTGTCGTCGCTGCAGCAGCAGCAGCAGCAGCAAGATGCAACGAAAGGACAACCCTACGGCCAGAAGCAAACACTAGGACACTGAGCCCAGACGATAAACTCTAAACCCTAAACCCTAAACCCTACACCCCAAGACCTAATCCCTAAACCCCAAACCCTAAACCCTAAACCCCAAACCCTAAACCCTAGAAGCCCTTAACTTTAGGCTCTAGCACTTATGCGCTATGTGGTAGGCCCTATATCGTAACCCCTGAAACCCCAAACCCTAAACTCCAAACCCTAAACTCTAAACCCTAAACCCTAAACCCTAAACCCTAAACCCTAAACCCTAAACCCTAAACCCTAAACCCAATACCTTAAACCCTAAACCCTAAACCCTAAACCATAAACCATAAAAAGATCGGAAGAGCGTCGTGTAGGGAAAGAGTGTAGATCTCGGTGGTCGCCGTATCATTAAAATAACCCTAAAGAACCCTAAACCCTAAACCCTAAACCCTAAACCCTAAACCCTAAACCCTAAACCCTAAACCCTAATACCTTAAACCCTAAACCCTAAACCCTAAACCATAAACCATAAAAGTAAACCCTAAAGGGGCTTCTACCAGGCGGTGTTTGGAGAAGGGAGTAATGAGAGAAAAAAGAGTAAAAAGCTGCCGAGACAAAACAGCAAAAGACAACACAATTGCTGGTCGGTCGGCCGCGGAGTGGCAGCACACGACTGCTGCTGCTGCTGCTGCTGCTGCTGCTGCGGCTAGAGGGATTGTTATCTATCCAAGGCGGTTTTTTCAGCAGTTAATATCTCTTTAATTTCATGTTATGAGCAGCAGAAGCCCAGCACAAGTTGCTGCTGCCGCTACTGCTGCTGCTGCTACTGCTGCTGGGGCTAGTAAGACACCTCCGGCTGCCGCCGCCGACGCAGCAGCAGCAGCAGCAGCAGCAGCAGCAAATTGAGGCGTTTAGGGGCCTTTGCAGCGGAATTCATTTCTAGAGGAGATTAAAGAAGGGTTCCTTCTCTTGGGGTGGGGAGAGCTGCTCTCCTGGTAGCAGCAGCAGCAGCACTAGCAGCAAGAGCAGCAGCAGCAGGACGCGAGCAGCAGCAGCAGCAGCAGCAACGCTGAGACCAGCAGCAGGAGAAACCCTATGTGAAGATCAGAGCCAAGGAAGGTCCTAAGGGGCCAACTTGCCGCCGCCGCCTCAGCCGCAGCAGCAGCAGCAGCAGCAACAACGGGAGCAGCAGCAACGCGAGGCTCCTTCGATTGAGCTGTCTGTGTACTTTGGCTGCTCTTGCTGCAGCAGCTGAAGCAGCAGCAGCACCATCCACCCCACGCTGCAAGAGAGACTTAGCCTTCTGTGAAAGACACCCTTCCGCAGCAGCAACAGCAGAGAGATCGACAGCAGCAGCAGCAGCAGAAGCAGCAACAGCAGTACAGCGTAGCTTATGGGGGCCTCCGTCTCTTCTGAGGAGAGCCGCCTGCAAGCCGCGCTGCTGCTGCTCTCACAAGACCCACAGGCCGAGGCTTTCTATCAGCAGCAGCAGCAGCAGCAGCAGCAGCAGCAGCAGCAGCAGCAGCAACAGACGAAAGGGAGACAGCAGGAAGAATGGCGCTTCCTTGCCTTGGCCCTGCTGCAGCACTTTGGGAAGGAGTCTCCTTGCCGCTGGTTTGTGCTGCTGCTTTTGCTGCTGCTGGAGTTGCTGCTCTCGCTGCAGTTGCTGCCGTTCGTGCTGCTGTCGTTGCTGCTTCTGCTGCACATACGCTTGCTGTTGCTGCTGCTGCTGCTGTGATATCCGCAGGTCTGACGTGGGGTGTATAGACAGCTTGTGGCGCAAAGGACAGCAACTTGCTGCAGAGGCCCCTCTGCTGCTGCACGATCTGCTGGCGGCGCTGCAGCTGCAGCAGGAGCAGCAGCAGGAGCAGCAGGAGCAGCAGCAGGAACAGCAGCAGCAGCAGCAGCAGCGTCTTGTTGTGAATTACACAGCTCATGTGCCTTCAGGCGATGCTCCTTCTCCCGCTGCAGCAGCTGTGGCTGCTGCGGATGGCGCAGCAGCAGCAGCAGCAACAGCAGCAGCAGCAGCAGCAGCAAGAGTAGTCGAAGCAGCAACGGCATTCGAGAGCTGGCAAACCGACACTCTGCTGCTGCTACAGGTGGCCCAGCTGCTGCTGCAGTCTCCTGCATTGTTTAAGGTAAGGCTTAGCTGCTCTTTCTATCAGCAGCAGCAGCAGCAGCAGCAGAAGCAATAGCACCACTACGTGTTGCTGCTGCTGCAGTCAATTGAAATGCGCTACTTCCTGCTGCAGCTTCCGCTGCTGCTCTCATGCTATTGCTTCTGTTTCTGCTGTCGTTGCTGCTGCTGCTGTTGCTGCGGTTGCAGCACCTCGCAAAGGCCCCACAGTATTCCCCGCTGCGGCTGCTGCTGCAGCAACTGCTGCTGGGAGCGAGGCGCATGCGCTGCGCCTTGAGGTTGCCTAAAGCAGCAGCAGCAGCAGCAGCAGCAGCAGCAAAGCGTACGGCAGATAGGAGAACATCGTTAAGCGCACAGCAGCAGCAGCAGCAGCAACAGCAGCAGCAGCTCCTGCCGCGTCTGTATGTGCAGCAGCTCGCCCTTGTAAGGGCCCTATTAGCGCTGGTGCTGTACCTTGGCTGGCGAGTAGCCATACACCTGGAGCAGCAGCAACAGCAGCAGCAACAGCAGCAGCAGCAGCAGCAGCAGCAGCGGTTGACATCTAAGGAGAGACGGCAGCTGCTGCAGCTGCATGCGTTTTCCGTGGCTTGGCGAGAGAGATGGGTAGACACTGATTTGCTGCTGCAGTTGCTGCACTTCTGTCGCTTCCTGCAGCAGCAGCAGCAGCAGCAAGGGAGCTGCGGCGGCGGGGAACATCCAATGTGCAGCGCGACAGCAGCAGCAGCAGCAGCAGCAGCAGCAGCAGATGGTGCTGCTGCAGCAAACCGGGATCTCCCCCTCTCACTTCTCCACGTCTGCGTCCACCCGTCAGCTGTACATACACCTCAAATATCTGCTGCTGCGCAGCAACAGACAAGCAGCAGCAGCAGCAGCAGCGGTGGGCGCGTTGCTGCTCTTGATGCTGCTGCTGCAGAGGGGTCTTCAGAATCACCGGCGGCAGCAGCAGATGCAGCGGCAGCAGCAGATGCAGCAGCAACAGTAGCAGCAGCAACAGCAACCCAGGCCCCAGACCGTAGCTCTCGTCAGCAGAACAGAGGCTCTGCAGCAGCAAACCAGCGTGTGGACAAGGCAGCAGCAGCGCGAGTACCTGTTGCTGCTGCTCCTGCTGCTGCAGACTGGATAGCTGCAGCAGATGCTGAAGTTGTGTGCGCCGTGCTCCAGCTTTGCTGCTGCTGCTTGGGAGAGAAGCTGCACAGCCCCCTGCTGCTGCTGCTGCGAGGGGTTGCTGCATGCAGCAGCAGCAGCAGCGTAGGGCTCATCCTTGACCTAACTCAACACCCCAATGAGAGATGCAGACTCAGGGTAAAGCCGCTGCTGCTGCTGCTGTTGCTGCTGCTGCTGTTGGTGCTTCTGCTGCTGCTGCTGGAGGGGGTTGTGCTGCTGCTTCGGAAACGGGTTGCTGCAGCTTCTGCCAACTCGCCCGTTGCTGCTGCTGCTGTTGTTGCTGTTGCTGCTGCTGTTGCTGCTGGTGCAGCAGCAAAGGGTTACGACTGCTCGGGTTGTGCGTTGGAGGTGCTTCTGTGTACATTTCGTTTTGCTGCTGCAGGCACTGCTGCTGCTGCAGCTGCTGCTGCTGCACTCGTCTGCAGCCCTGAGGAGTCAAATTGCTGCTGTTGCTGTCCGAGTCGGTATGCTGCTGCCGCTGCTGCTGCGGCTGCTGCAGCTGTTGCAGCGAGGTGACGCACAGCAGCAGAACCCCTCCTGCTCTGCTGCACCTGCTGGCCTTACACTGCAGCAGCAGCAGCAATCGCAGCAGCAAGAGTTGTGGCAGCAGCGACAGGAGCTGCTTGAGAAGCAAGACAGCTTAGAGCAAGAGCCTCCTCAATCTGAGGACGCTGGGGATGACTTTGCTGCTGCTGCTGCTGCTGCTGCCAGCGGCAGCAGCAGCTTGCTGGTGTTGCAGACTAAGCAGCAGCAGGTGCACCAGACGGAGGAGGCCCTGCTGCTGAGTGTTCTGGCGCTGCTCTATGGCGAGCCTTCGGGTGACTGGAGCAGCAACAGCAGCAGCAGCAGCAGCAGCAGCAGCAGCAGCAGCAGCAGCGACAAACAAGCTACGGTGCAGCTGGTTAATTTGCTGCCGCCCTCTGCCGTGCTGCAGCTGCAGCAGCTCGCCTCCCCATCACCCGGAACTGCTGGCCGTACTTGCAGCAGCAGCAGAAGCAGCAACAACAACAGCAGCAGCAACAGCAGCAGCAGCAGCAGCGATTTAGGCGGCGTCCTTTGCCCTGTCGTAGGGCGCTGTGCTGCAGCATCAGAGGAAATTCTGCTGCTAGAATGGGAGTGCAGCAGCAGCCGCAGCAGCAAAAGCAGTAGCAAGTGCAGCAGCAGCAACAGCAGGAACAGCAGCACAATGCTGCAGCCACACTGCAGCAAATGGAATCCCCCCATGAAGTGGCGTTTGTTTGCTGCTGCACTGCAGCAAGCTGTTCGGCATCAGCAGCAACAGCAGCAGCAACAGCACCAGCGGCTCACTGACAGCAGCAACTACCTCCCAGCTTTGCTGCTGCTGCTGCAGCAGCAGTGGGACGATCTGCTGCTGTTCCGCGGTCTCTGCGGCGGGGTGTACGTGGAGCTACTACAGGAGGATTGGAGGTCTCTCTTGCTGCTATACGTGCAGCAGCAGCAGCAGCAGCAGCAGCAGCAGGACCAGCAGCAGGTATTTCCTAGTTATCAGAGCTTCCTTCGCCTACCGGCGGGCGTTGGAGGCGATCGTCGTCAGCAGCAGCAGCAGCAGCAACTGCTGCTGCTGCAGCAACAGCACTGCGGTGTACAGAAACCTCCCGTGAGGCTTGCTGCTGTGCAACAGCTTCTCCGCCGCTTGTCGCTGCTGCAGCGCATGCAAAGAAGGCGCGCTGCAGCAGCAACTGCTTCATTGAGCTGCAGCAGCAGCAGCAGCAGCAGCAGCAGCGAGGTGTGGGGTTGGGAGTTGCTGGATCTTCACTCCCTGGGAAAGCCGGTAGATAGCAGCAGCAGCTGCAGCAGCAGCAGAAGGGGCAGCAGAAGCAAAGGCGCTGCAAAAGGATGTGAGGTGCTGCTCAGCAGTTCACAGGCAGCAACAGCAGCAGCAGGATCTGCTGCCGCTGCTGCTGCTGCTGCTGCTGCTCGCGTTGCTGAGGGAGCCGCATGCAGCCTGCTTCGGCGCGGCAGCGAGGAGTTGCTGCTGCTGCAGCACTCTGCTGCAGCAGACGTTGTGGAAGACCCTTCAGCCATGTGCACTGTAGGCTGCTTTTGCTGCTGCTGCTGGTGCTGCTGCTACTGGTGCTGCTGTCGCTGCTGCTGCTGCTTGTGCTGTTGCTGCTATTGCTGCTGCTGCTGCTGTTCTGCTTGGTGGCGCTTTGCTCATTTGGTTGTGTTGCAGCAGTGCTGCACAGTGCAGCTGCTGCTTCTGCTGCGGGTGTTTCTACTTTCTGTTGAAGTATTGCTGCTGCTGCTGCTAGTATCTGTCCTGTTCCTGTTGTTGCTGCTGCTGCTGTTGCTGCAACAGTTGAAGCGTCTGTTTCCTTCTTGCGTGCGCTGGTGGTGCCTCTCAGGCGGTGGTGCAGCAGGTGCTGCTGCACTCAGCAGCACCTGCTGCTGCTTTCTTGCCGCCGCTGCTGCTGCTGTGGCAGCGGCTGCTGCAGTGTTATCCGCAAGCGCTGCTGCTTCATAGCAGCAGCAGCAGCAGCAGCAGCAGTAGCAATCCTCTGCAGCATGACCCGTTTCTTCAGGGAGACTCGCCCTTTGCTGCTTGCGGCGCAGATGCTGCTGCTGCTTCAGCGGGTCTATCCACCGCACCAGCAGCAACAGCAGCAACAGCAACAGCAGCAACAGCAGCAGCAGCAACAGCAGCAGCAGCAGCAGCAGGGCATGGCCCCTGTGTACAAGGGGTGGAGGTTGCAGTTTCCCTGCTGCAGCAAGGTAGTTTACTGCCTCCAGCAGCGCGTTGCTTAGCACTTAACGTGTTGTTGCTGCTGCTGACTGCAGCAAGGCAGCAGCAGCAGCAGCAGCAGCAGCACGTGGCCTGGCTGCTGCTGCGGAGCAACGGGCATTCGATTCTGTTGTTGCTGCTGCACGCATTCGTCGCTCAGGAGCTGCGGCAGTTGCATCTGAAGATGCAGCAGAAGCAGCAGCAGAAAGAGCAGCCGCAGCAGCAAAGCGCAGCAGTTCATTGCAAGAGCAACCGCCATGCAGCAGCAGAAGCGCTGCTGCTTCTGCTGGGCCTTCCTGAAGGAGCAGCAGCAGCAGCAGCAGCAACAGGGGCTGCAGCAGCAATGGCAGCAGCAGCAGCAGATTGTGGGAATGGTGCAGCTTCTCATGCTGCCCAGGATGACTGCAAGGCTACTCGGGGGAGGAGGGGCTGCAGCAGCAGCAGCAGCAACAGCAGCAGCACCAGCGGTAGTAATAGCAGCAGCAGCAGCAGCAGTAATAGCAGCAGCAGGAGCAGCAGCAACAACAGCAGCTTAAACAAAAGCAGCAGCAGACCCGTGAAGATACCTCATAGGCGGCCAGCTGTGCAAACCCAAATTTCTTCCTCGTTGACAGAGCAGCAGCAGCAGCAGCAGCAGCAGAAGCAGCGGCAGCAGCAGCAGCAGCAGCTGCAGCAGGCAAGCCAGCGCGAAGCCCCCTTGCTGCCTTCCCTTCTCAGTGCTCCCCGCCGCGCGCCGTACGATGACCCCTGCAGCAGCGTGGGCAGTCTATGCAGCAGCAGCAGCAGCAACAGCAGCAGCGGCAGCAGGAGTGGATGCGCTCAAGGTGCGTGCAGCAGCGATGTCAACAGCAACAGCAACAGCTGCAGCAGGAAGCGCAGCAACCGCTGCAGCAGATGGAAACAAACGCATGCATATCACGGCGTGCATAGCGTGGGAGCAGCGGCAGCAGCAGCAGCAGCGGCAGCGGCTACGGAAGCAGCAGCAGCAGCAGCAGCAGCAGCAACAGCTACAGAAGCAACAGCAGCAGCGGATCGCCAGCCAGTCAACGAGCAAAACCTGCTGCAGCAACGCAGCAGCACCTTGCTGCAACAGCAGTGGGAGGAGCGCGAGGGTTGTGTTAAGGGGCCCGTGGATTTGAAGCAGCCGCAGGATGAAGAGCAGCAAGAGCAGCAGCAAAAGCAGCATACGCAACAGCAGCAACAGCAGCAACAGCAGCAGGACCATCAGCAGCAGCTGCTGCTGCTGCCAGCAGATGCCCCGTTTGCCGTCGCAACAATCTCACCAGCAGAGGCAGCTGCTGCACTGCAGGTGCTGCACTTGGGGTGTACGTACAGCTCAGCGTTGGCGCGGAAGCTGTGCTGCAGTCGCGGCACCCTGCAGCAGCTGCTGCTGCTGCTGCTGTTACCCCCGCAGCACGAAAGACTGGCGCTTGCTGCAGCAAAGCTGCTGCTGCTGCTGCTGCGCAAGTATCCCGCTGTAGCTCTGCTGCTGCAGCAGGAGGCTGCTCTGCCGATTTGCTGTGCTGCTGCATGCAGATTTGCTTCGAGGTCCGCCAGCAGCAGCAGCAGCAGCAGCAGCAGCGCAGCGGGGGCGCAATGTGCCTCTGCAGGGGTTGCTGCTCGGGTTGCTGCATGCAAGTTGCTTCGACGCATTGCAGAAACACTGAATGGGTTTCGGCTTGAGCCCAGCAGCAACAGCTGCTGCTGCTGCTGCAGCAGCAGCAGCAAGGATCTCAACACCTGCTGCTGCTGCTGCTGCTGCGGTGGTGTGGCACTGGGTACGCAGTACCTCTGCAGGCTGCTGCCGAGCCCGCTGGCTCGCCTGCTGCTGGGTGATGCTTCTCTCATCCTCCCTGCTGCGGCAGCAAATGGAGCAGCAGCAGCAGCAACTGCAGCAGCAGCAACTGCAGAAGCAATAGCACCAGCTGCAACAGCAACACCAGCACCAGCAACACCAAAGGCAACAGAAGGAGCAGCAGCAAGAGCAGCACCAGCACCAGCAGCAGCAACAGCAGCAACAGCAACAGCAGCAGCCAAGCGGGGGCCCGTAGCTTTGGCTTCCCTTTTCGCTTATTGTGCTGCAGGGGCAGCTGTAGAGACACCTCAACTCATTTGGAGCCGCATGCTGCAGCAGCAACTGCTGCAGCAGCTGCGTAAGCCCATCTCCAGTTTGCTGCAGCGGGACAGCAGCAGCAGCAGCAGCACAAGCGACGGCCTCAGCTTTAGTAGTGCACTGAACGCGCCATGCCACATGCAGCAGCAGCTGCCTGCAGCAGCAGCAGCTGCAGCAGCAACAACAACTGACAGCCCTGTAGGGGCGAATGAAGCGGCAGGAAGTACTCCATGTACTACTGCTGCTGCTGCTGCTGCTGTTGCTGCTGCTCCGGGTGCGCTTAGCTGCGCTCTCATCTATGTACATCACAAGCAGCTGTCTCTGCTGCTTACAGCAGAAAGGGTTTATGTGTCTCCTGCGCTTCTGCGAGCGGAGGCCTTGTGGAGTTGGTTGCTGCAGCAAATAAAGCAGAGCAGCAGCAGCAGCAGCAGCAGCAGCACACAATGCCTGCACCGAACAGCAGCCATCTGTGCGTCTACCACTCTTTAGAGAAACAGCATCAGTTGCAGCAGCAGAAGCAGCAACACGCAAGCAAATGCGCTGCACAGAAGCCGGCATGGTCAGCAGCAACAGCAGCAGCAGCAGCAGCTTCAGTGCACGGAGCTGCTTTGCAATGCTGGTGCACTGTGGCGCAGCAGCAGCAAATGCTCCTGCTGCAGGAGATGCAGCTGCTGCCGCTGCCTCGCCGAAGGTTGCAGCCGCTCCCTCACAAGTGCTGGCGCGCGCCGCCGCAGCAGCAGCAGCAACAACAACAGCAGCAGCAACTGCAGCAACCGCGGCCAAAGGAGAAGCAGCAAGAACCGCACCAGCAGCAGCAGCAGCAGCAGCGCCCTGTGACACTCTTGCTGCAGCTCGTAAAGTGCTTCCGCACCCATCTCGGGTTGAGGCTGCAGGAGCAGCAGCAGCAGCAGCAGAGGGAGCATGGTGGCGCTGGTAGCAGCAGCAGCAGCAACAGCAGTAAGGGCAGCAGCAGCAGCACCGAAACATGCAGTTCAAGAAAAATCTGTAGCGAAGTTGATTTGCTGCA